CATTTTGGAATACGGTAAGTTTGTCATATAAAAAATTAATTATCTGAAGATCCATATAGATTTTGCCATTAATGGGTTTTAGTAGGCTTGATATCATTATCACTGTAGACATAAATGAAAATACTACTATATTCAAGTGGCCTCTGAATCACAACATCCTTCCTCCACCCTAATGCCTCCTTATACTTGGGGATGATGGTTTTACAGTGTTGAGTATTATGGTTGGGTTGATTTCTGTTATTGCCTATGAATATGCTATCATGTAAATCTGATTGGAGACTGCCACAGACTAAATGTGTCTCCTCAAAATTCATATTTTGAGGTGGTATGGTGGTTAAGGTGCTGGACACTCTCACATGGCAGACCACAGTTTAAGTCCTGGACCTGGTAGCTTGCTTTCTCACTTTCCTTCTCTTTCTGTGTGCCTCTCTCTGGTCAAATTAAAATAAATGAATGAATAAATAAAAAAATGAATAAATAATTATTAAAAAATTATATTTCAGAACCTCAACCCTGATGTAATTAGGTCATGAGAGTTCTCATGAGAAATAAATTTATGTCAACTCTAAGTTACTAAACTGTGGTATTTTGTTATAATAGCCCAAATGGGCTGAAGTCAAGCTATAATGTCAATGCAGTTTTCAGATGTACAACAAAACAGGAAAAACGGACGATGTAAACTGTGAGGAAGAAGAGGGAACTATATTATGGGTGATATTTAGAAGAACTAGAGTTTAACAACAAAATAAGTTTGTTTCATCGGCCATGTTACAGAGGCAGCTAAAAGGAAAATAATAAAAGAGTTTCCCTGGTCAGGACATCCAAAGATACTATAGAAGGAGACATGTAAGAGGGAATAGCCTTGCTTCCTAGTGGTTGTCATTGGAGGAAAGCTCATTAAGGTGCCGAGAACCTTTCATGGAGTTCCATTCCTTCATTCACTCATGTATTAGTTGTTATTGAATGCCGTTACTGTCCATCAGTACATTCTAAGTACTGAATGTATTCAGTGGAACAAAACAGACAGTCTTTTCTACTGTGAAATTTATGTTTTAATAAGGATAGACAGGGAATAAACAAATAAATATAAAATTTTCTTAATAGTATAGTAAGCACTGTAGAGAAAAACAAAATAGGGTAAATGAAATAAGTTATGATATCAAATGAGAGATTTTATCACAATATTGTAAAGTTGTGGAAGATGAATCAAGGAAGCTTCCTTTCTGAATGGTAGCTATTGTAGCATGTCGACACTGATAAGAATGATCTAAAAGTGAGGAAACAATGAAAACTGCAGGGGACAGAGGGACATCGTAAGTATTACTGATTAAGCATACAATTTGAGATCTAGTGTACAAATGGATGTTTGTACTTAGAAGCACAGGTAAATGAAATGATTAAAATTAAAATGAGTGGAGAGGCCTCATTATCAGTAATAGCAAGATTCGACCATGGGAGTAGGTCAAGGACAAGGTCATTAGACAAAAAAGTTCAAGGATTAAGGGACCAGGCTATTGTTGCATATAGTTATCTAGCAGATACTGAAGCCAAAAAAATTATAATGTTAGAATTACAATGGATAGAGTGCTAAAATTTTCAAAGAATGAAGGGCATGTTCTAGGAATTCTGTAGACATGTATGCAACAATATTTAAATAAAAAAGTATAAACCACTCACCACTTCGGAGGTGGGTGCTCCTGTCTGATTCACCTTCCCTTCCTGGAAGTTTGGACAAACTCCTGGTCTGTCATGGTCCAGTGAAACTGTCTTTAAACTGGAACTTCCAGGACACTGAAATCCAGAGGGTAAACAAAAACTAATGGTCAAATGAGATCAGTTGAGTCAATGAACTGTGAAGTGGGTATATATAACTGGATCCTCACAATGAGGCAGTGCTGGGCAAAGCTGAGGCACATAGCCAAGGGACCTGAGGGGCAGGGAGAGGAGAACAATGGAGTGTGGGAAACAAGCGACTTGAATGTTACTTGGAGATGGTAGAGCAGAGCGGGGGTGCAGGAGTTTGTTGCATCTGGGCTTTGGAAGCCCCTATGTTGGCAGAGGTTTTCCAGCTTTAATTACTTAAAGAGCCAAGATCAGAGTAGACAACATCCAAATGCCAAATAGTGTCTCCTATATAATGACTTTTTTTTTTCCATTGTGAACACTCCAACCAGTCCAGTATCTCTTCTTTCCATTCTGACCATAGCTTATCAAAATGTGTGTGTTTATCATTCCATCAGCCTCTTTTATTTGGGCATATTGGCACATAAAAACTGAAAGCATTTTTCTTGGATTAAGAAAGTTAAATCAGTTTTACTGGAGAGGCTAAGGGTTTTCATCTGAGATTGCCCCTTGGAGGACATTGGGAACAACCAGGCAGCATCTGTTCACTGCTTCAGGGTGGAGCAACATTAATTAATGTGAGTGGAAAAGAGTAGATGGGGAGGGTCCTGTTTACCCCTCTGATGCTCCTGGGACCCTTGTTGCTGCTGTCATTTGCAATGACATTTAAAATTCACTCTGCTTTTTCATCATGCGGTCTGTTTTGTTCACTGAGTCTCTTTATGTTCACAGCCAGGGTAAGATTTTCTCTTGTTTAAAAAAGCTGCTTAAAATGCAGAACCTTGCTTCCCATCTCCTTTTTTTACTTCCTGCTGCTGTTCTTGAAAATAATTGCCATATGTAGTCAATCCACAAAGCACGAGAATAGGTAGTACCTTTATAGATTCTACATTATAAATTTAAGATTGCAATCTCTTCATTTTCACAAATGCCAAAGATGAGGGTCTCTACTTTCATTTCCTTCCTGTCAAAAAGACTAAATTTAGTTGGTTGATTTACTTTTTATCATCCAAACATTAATTTTGCAAAGCAAAGAAACTTTTCCAGATGTACTTTAAAAAGATAATATATCTGATCCCTAAAGCCTAAAATCAGAGACTTCTGCAGAGTGAGGTCCCCCCTCCAACATTCTCATTTATCATTTAGCAGAAGTAAAGAGCAGGAGTCTGCATTTAACTGTATTTTCTACTAAACTGGAACAGGTATGTATCTTCGATGTTCTACCATGCTGTGCAGATTATAAATAAACTCTCAGAACTTGAACTTTAGTCTCAATATCAAGATATTACCAATCTCTCTCTTAATTTTTGCCACCTGTTTGTGAGCTAGATTAGTTGATTGGAAATAAGAGCCCCAGAAGGTTGTAAGTGTGGGAGTAAAATATTGTTCTGAGTTGTTACCTTATAAAGCTCTTGGCATGGCTCTAAAGTTATTGTCACTCATTTCCTTAATTCCCTAATGAATTTTCCATTCACAGTTCCAGACATTTGCCACACATATCCACCCTGTATCTCCACTACACTTCCTTACCTACTATCCTTACCTGAGGCGATCTTGAAGCCATCTTTGAAACCACTTGACTCTTTCAGTTTTCTTCTTCATCAACTCCTTTTATCTTTCAAACTAAACCCATTGTTGTAATTTTAACATGGTCAAGACTTTCAGACATTTCCCATTTGCCTATTGTCCTAGTTTTCCTTTTATTTTATTTATTTTTATTTTTTATTTATTATTATAATAATCTTATTTATGTTACATTGAATTTTGCTTATAATGGTACAGTGTATTACATTGCTTTTTCAAAAGGGATTGCCATGCATGTCAGTCAATACAGAGACGTTAAACTCCCCACTTCATCATTCAATATCATTGCTTTGTTTTTTTTCCGAACATTATTATTATTATCCAAGTTGTTTTTAAAGCTCTTCAACTACAGTTAGTACTTTTAAAGGATCAATAAGAAGGAATATTAAACTTGCTTAGTATTGGTTCTGTATGCATATTCAGAACACTATGAAGTGTTTTCACACACATTTTATGATTTTTTAGTTTTTTACTTTGGTTCAAGATCCTAGGAAGATTTAAAGGAGTCACAGGTGTTATATTTGCTAATTTCTGGTTTTCATGAAACTGTGTATCATGTTGCCAATTAGAACATCCTGATGCCAAGATTTAATATCAGAGTTTGAAAGGTCTTTTATTATCTTATAGCAAGTAAAGCACTGAAGATATATATACTTGGAAACACACAATTTCTGTCTATACTTTTATGCCTTCCAATCTTTCAGTTTCTGCCATACAGTGTAGACACTAGGATATGTTAAGTAGGGACATACAGTGCCTCTCTTTCATAGTCTGGCTTGCTTTGCATAGCAGTAAATAAATGTTCCATATTTGTCTACTTTCTATCAAATGCCAAGGTCTCATTGTTCTTCATAGCTGAGTGTCTCACATAGTGTATATGTGCCACACTTTTTCAGTCTGTTCATCTGTTTGTGGACATTTGGGTTGATTTTGTGTCTTAGCAATTGTGAACAATGCTACAGTGAACACAGATTTGCAATTGTTCTTCTGACTGAGTGTATTCTCTTTTTTGAGAGTTTTTTTCCCATAGGGTGCACGCACTCACCAGAAAGACAGAGAAAGACAGAAAGCAAGAAATCACCCCCCCCCCAGGGGGGAGGGGCACGCCACAACCCCTTCTCCTCCATTATTCTCTTAGGATTTGGGGCATGCATGCACATACACCGGCATGAGTTTTAAGCCTCCAGGTCCTGGACTTGAACTGTGATTGACTCTGTGAGAATCCAGTGATGTATTATCTACTGGTTCCCCAACTGAGTGTATTCTTGTCCTTTGGATAGATACTGAGGAGTGGAAATTCTGGATTATATGGTAGTTTTATTTATAGGTTTTCGAGGAACCTCTGTATTGTTCTCCATAGTGACTACTAGCCTTGACAGCACTTACCATTCTTTATTTTTTTTAAATCTTAGCCATTCCGACTGGAGTTAGGTGATATCTCATTGAGGTTTTGATTTCATCTCCTTATGATAGGAAATGTTGAGCATTTTTTCATATGCTTTTTGGCTGTTTATATGTCTTCCTTGGAGAGTTGTCTGTTCAGCTCATTTGCCCATCTTTTAATTGCATTCATTAAAAATATGGAATGTGTTATGAATTTGCATATTATCCTCATGCAGGGGCCATGCTAATCTCTGTATTGTTTAAATTTTAGTATATGTGCTGCTGAAGTGAGCATGAGGAGGTATTCTTAAGAAGAGATGTGTGAAGAAGGTAGGACTTGCTTTTTTTTGTTGTTAAAATTTTAAAAAATTAATTGACAAAGATTACATATTCATTGTTTAGATAATCATTTGATATGCATGATGTCATTATTATTACAATCAAATTAGTTTACACATCCACTACTCCCATGCTGCATATTAGATCCCCAGAACTTGTTCATCTTGATACTGAAAGCTCATGCTCTTTGATTAACATTTCCCCATTTCCCGCACCCCATGGCTTCCAGCAACCACACTGTTCACTATGTTTCTGGGTTTTGCCTTTTTAGATCCCACATAAAAGTGACATCATACCTTAGTAGAATTTTTTAAAAATTTAAAATGTCAAGATTTAAAATGTCAATTACAGGGTTATGAGTATGGTGGTATTCATCAATACAATGTGTTTTTGAGGAAAGGAATGAGACATACCAGTTTATAAATCCTAGTTTGGTCACAAATTAACTGTTTCATTATGGTGAGTTACTTACATCTCTAAGTCTCCTTCCTCATTGGTAAAATGGGAAAAGTATTATCTATTTCAAGGATTATTGCTTTAAAAAGTGAGAGCTAAGGAAAGAGCGGCACTCCCTAGGAGAGTATAGAAATTAGGATTGGTGTTTTCTTTACTATGTTAGCTGAGTTAGTTATTTGAGCATGCTGAATCCTTCCAAGGGGCCTTGAGCCAGTGCAACTCGGCACATGTTTGGTATCGGTAACTGATGACCTAGATATTAAAGTTGGAAATGACCCCAGAAATAGTCTGGTTCAACTATCATTGTATAATGAGGAAATCTAATGGCTGCCTGAAACTTTTGCTGAGCCAAATTGATCAAAATAGTATTGTGAAGTCCTAGCACTAAATCACATACCTTTTCTCCTACAGAGTGGTTTTTTTCATAAGATCTCTCTTGCTCTCAATACTACCACTACTGTGGTGGTCATTAGAGACCTATTTTAAACTCATTTCATAAGATGTGACTGGCAAATTTGAAAAATAGTTTCTTTTGTTCCCATTTCCCTTTTCTGTCTTTCTGGTTCTTTAAAAGTGATGAATTTTGGAATGGCATTGATTTCTTAAGACATGGATGTTACAAAAAAAGTCTCTATAATAAAAGCTCTAGGTCTTTTTTTTTTTTTCCACAGAACTTTCTTTTAAAAGTATTTTTTTTTCTCTCTTGAAAAGGGCAGAGCAGCTGGTTATCTCTGAACTATTGATTTGGATTCAGTTGCAGCAATTATTTAGTTCTTTGTGCATCTTTTAGCTCTAGTATGTTCTGCTCCATGAAAGGCATTTGTGAGTAAATGAAAACCTGCACATGTAGTTCAGCAAGGACCTGTTTTAAGTACAGTGAATCCTGGAAGGTCTTCTACTTAATGCAAAATACACCCTTAAACTTTCTAATTAATGAGTTTGAATTTTAAGTCTTTAGTACATCTGATTTCATGGTACTACAGACACTGTGGTTGGGATCAGTAGCATTTTGGTTTGGTGAGCAGGTTAGTTGCATATGAATTAAACCTTTGTTAATACAACAGCTGCTTCATTTTTCTTACATGCACTTTGCATTGTAGTGATAGTTTCCACAATGTGTAATCATGGAGGACCTCATAAGTAGATCATTTATCTGACAGGCCTACTGAAAAATTATCAGGATGCTTTCAAAATCACAATTTGACAATTAGAAGAGACTATATCGTGTGACTCATGGAAGGACATTACCTTGTCTTCACTTAGGCAAAGTAATGTCTGTTTTGTATGTGTGTATTTTTATGTATGTGTACACACAAGCACATGCATGTTTTTGAGCAGTGTCTGGTTACTTGGTTTTCTTCTTGTCTTTCATTATTTCTAGAACTGTCTAATCTACTATTATCCTGGAATTTTACTTCTTAGAGATTAAAAATATAATAAAAAATACTCTTGAAGGAGTTAAGATTATAGAGATTGACATATTGATTCATTTGAGCTATTTATTTTTATCTGACCAACACTGGGAAATGAATGGTTTTCATGTTTAATAACTTTAAATATACAAATAGTGACTTCACTAGTGACCTGAAATGAAATCAAATAGCTGGTAATTCTAGGAGTCGTGTTCTTCAAAGGATTTACTTAGCATGGTCCTATCAAACTAGCAAAAACTCAATAAATAGGTGTGGCTATCTGGCCATGATTATTGTCAATTTCTTTTCATTCTTTTTTTTTTTTTTTTCATTTAATTGTCCACGTGACATTCTTGCAGAACATGATAAATGCTTATTATGAGTCCATTATGCTTTAGGTTTTAGGGGAATACAATAGTGAACAAGAGAGAGTCTTTGCCTTGAAAGAACTCACATGTCACGTGATGAAAATGAAACTTCTGGGGCCAGCAGGTGACATGGTGGTTAAGGTGGAGACTCCCACATGGTCAAACACAGTGCAAATCCTGGAACTGGTGACTTGCTTTCTCACTTTCCCTCTTTTGCTCTCTGGTGTGCAAATTATACTCCTTGTAATTAATAAATAGTAAAAATAATGATAATACTCCTTTTGGCCGGAACCAGCATCTTCCAGTAATTAACCAAAATGACCAACACAGAGGGCAAGAGGAGAGGCACCCGATATATTTCTCTAGGCCTTTTAGAAAACATGGAGTAGTTCCTTTGGTGACATATATGCAAATCTACAAGAAAGGTGATATTGTAGACATTAAGGGAATGTGTACTGTTCAAAAAGGAATGCCCCACAAATGTTACCATGGCAAAACTGGAAGAGTCTACAATGTTACCCAGCATGCTGTTGGCATTGTTGTGAACAAACAAGTTAAGGGCAAGATTCTTGCCAAGAGAATCAATGTGTGTATTGAGCATATTAAACATTCTAAGAGCAAAGATAGCTTCCTAAAACTTGTGAAGGGAAATGATCAGAAAAAGAAAGAAGCCCAAGAGAATGTTACCTGGGTTCAACTAAAGCGCCAGCCTGCTCCACCCAGAGAAGAAGCACACTTTGTGAGAACCAATGGAAAGGAGCCTGAGCTACTGGAACCTATTCCCTATGAATTCCTGGCTTGATGGGTGTTAAAAATAAACTAATCTGTGGTCTATAAAAATAATGATAATAAATAAAATTAAATGATTATCTTAAAAATAAAATGACACTTCTAAGGCCATTTAGTTATATTGTATGTACTATAGTAAGCAGCACTGAAGCTATGCATGGTGTTAGAGATACAAGAAAATAAGCAAAGTGCTTCTGCTCTCAGGAAACTCAGAGGTCAGCTGGAAGGCGAAACCTACACATGGGCTACATCCCCAGCAAGTAAAGCCTGTGGAATAGCAAATGAACACTGCTTATCCTGTCTTCCCTTTGCATTCCAGACAAATGCTTGCCTCTCTCAGACACTTGTTGGGTGAACCTTCCTAATTATACTAACTTTCCACATTTTGATTTCGTCCCTGCCTTACTTTCATCCTTTGCTTTTCATTTTAAAACTTCTTTCTGATATTGCCTCATAATTCCAAAGAGGAAAATACCCAGAGACTCTATTCTCACACAATCCATTTTCCTTGGAAGAATAATCATTCAACTTGGAGTTTGTTTGTTTGAGGTGTATCATCTCCATTGAACCATTTAACCCCTTTTCTGCCCATTATTTTTTGGTCATTTCAGATTACATCTACAGCAGACCTTATTATTGCCCCAATCTCTCTAATTAACACAGTGACCTTCATCACAACTATAGGCAAAAGCCCACAGGGGTAATTTGAGCAGGAGTGAATCTCTCCTAATGATGTGATGAAAGGATGAACTCACCCTATTGAACCTAAGTGACCGTGTTCGGACTTTTTATTTAACAAAATCCTTAATTATCTTAGATTTGTCAGTGACCATCCTTGCATCGTATGAAATAATCACCTGGCAATATTAACAGCCTAAAATTGCTTTTAGAGGGGAAAGAGATACAATTAGCTAGAATATGTGATAGAGGAAGGGGAGGAAGAGAGAACTTTAGAATAGATTTTATTTTTCATTTCTTTATTGGAAATACTAAATTCAGATTTCTGTATATGAACACAGTATGTCAGACTGCTTTGGAATGGTGCAGAGTACATTATTCCACAGATGACTGAGCAGGGGAATCACATTTGTACAAATCAAAGATCTCGGGTGTTATGATCAGATCAGGACCAAGTTTTCTTTCTTATAAATGCCTAAATAATATGTACTTCATAAAGCTTTCTGATCAAATATTTTTTCCTCTATGGAAAAAGGGTATACTATGTAATATATAGATTGCTATTTTCTGTGTTTGTACACAGAGATATATTTATATTTAATTTTATTTTTTAGTCTGGGCAATTGGAGTCACCTCTAACCAGTTTCACTGCCTCTAGCTTCTCCCTATTTCTCTATGTTTTATATTCTGCTGTTCGATTCTTCTTTGGGAAGCTCATATATCACTAACTTCTCAAAACTTTGAATGACCTCACATTTCGATAACAAGAGTCAAATATTTTGTTCTGATATTCTAAAATATTCAATCCACCTTATTAATATTGTTGAATATTGCTTATCACTTTCTTTTATTGGTTGTTTTCCAATCAATTGAAACTACTACTATTTGTCAGACCTAGCACAAACTTTCCCATTTACAAAACTATCCTTTAAATGGGTACTATGGGGACCAGCCAGATGGCATAATGGTTACATCACTGGATTCCCATGTAGTCAACCAAGGTTCAAGTCCTGGACTTGGTGGCTTAAAACTTAAACTGAGCATGTGTGCATGTGTTTCCAGAATTCCAAAAAGAGCATGAAAGAGAAGGGGTTGTGGCATGTCCAACTCCCCTGGGAGCGATCTCTCACTCTCTGTGACTATCTCTCTAGCAAGCAAACACACCCTAGAGCAAAAAATATTTCTCCATTAAAAAAAAAAGGAAAGAAAAGAAAAAAAAGAGAGAAAAGGTACTACGTAAAAACTATGCATAA